AAACGAGCCGAACACGAACACACTTTTTGAGCTCGAAATATAAACGAGCCGAACACGAACTGAGCATGGCTCGCTCGTTTTCGGCTCGTTTACACCCCTAGATACAATTAGTTTGGGCATTAAAACTACACGATTAAATCATTAGCACCATAACTGTGTTAATTGGGGACGAACTCAATAAGAAAATCAGCAAATAAGCTAAAACATAGTTTTAAACCTCAATTCACCTTCAAGCTCAACTCAAAATTAAAAAATAACCAAAAGTTAATAAGATAGTACACGGCTCGACACAGTTCATTTGTAAACCTAATTATAAGAATAAAAATAAATAAAAGCATGCTTGTGGCTAATCAACAAATTAGCAATTTAGAATAAAAATACTCAAAATGAAGAATTAATATCAATTAGCTCAAGCTGGTTGCAAGGATTAGAAAATTAAAGCGAACTTAAAGCCTTGGTAAAAACATCTGCCAGTTGTTCAAGCATGGAATGAAAGCGACAATCTTTTTAAACAATAAGTATTCTCGAATAAAGGGGCAATCAAATTTAACGTTTTGTTCTTTCATGAAATACGGATGTAAATTGCAACACAATTGTCATAGTTAAAGCCATAACTAAGTGATTGGAAAGCCAGTTTACCCCAGCTGGTCTTAACAAGTATCATGTCAAACATAATGTGTTGTGGCCATGTAATACCTCCATGTTTGAACTAGCCACCACTATTTATTTCTTGCACTTCGATATAACCAAATCACATCCACAAATATCTAAAACCTGAATGTGAATTCCAATAACATGAGACAAAGATTCTACACTAACCAACCTAGTTAGTTAAAAAGGTAACCTGACAGTCAAAAGCTTAAAGCAATATTCTACTTCCTAAACGTTTCAGTAACAACAAGTTATAATGTGAGTTGCTGAAATAGATTTTGTGCTTCCATTAAATCTTAAGTTTGCAAAGCTAAAAACATAGCAATGATTTATTTTCAAATTTAGCGTTACATCAAGTAATACTTTAGTTACAAAGAACAATAATCAACCCAACAGAAACAAAAAAGGAGTGGAAAAATAAATGCATTCCTCCACCTGTAGGATAACAAAAATCACTATGTTAAGGGTTTGATTACCCCTTCTTGATTAGTAGCACTAAAATGTCCAGCACCAAGCCAAAGATGTGATTTCTCACTGATCTTCCGAATTGGTCTCAGTAATCCTTAGTGGCCTTAGCATATATGTCGAAACAATCAAAACAATTAACCGCAAGGCTCACCAAATACCAAATGTCCGTGACATCATGTTTCCATGACAAAAAACTTTCTAATTTAGAGGCATCCATCATGCTATGATTATCTTGCCAAAAGAAAAAAAACACGAATGTTATGGATGGAGATTTTTTTAAAAAAAAATCAGTCACATGAGCATCTACAAGTTTAAGAATTGATTGGAAGAGGAGCTATAGCTACACAGCAGATGCGTCTTCCCAACACATAGGAACTTTGAAATGACATCACGAAGCCGTTAAACCAAACCTAAGAATTTGAAAAAAGTGCAGGAGCTCTATCTCAAAACAAAGAACCCATCAAAAAACATATATATTGAAGAAAGCAAAATAAACTGAGATGAGTCCTAAAGCAATAACTTGGCATACCTCAAGAACGAGAGAAGCAGACCAACAATTGTGGTGAAAAGCCAAGCAATGAATCCATACTGATCATAATCAAAGAACAAGATAAGTTATATTTCTAAAAAATTTATATATATACATACACAATTAAATGAATCAATGAGTAACAACATTGATTCATGAAAATAACACAAAAAAAGATCGCAAGCAAAGACATGTCTGTAAGTTATAACGCCACAAAAAAAATAACATAATAAATCAATAAATACTGATGATTAATCTTTGGTTCCTATTTAATTATTTATTTATTTATTTATTTATTTATCTTCCCACTGATACACTCGAGGATGTACATGTAATTAGTGATAATATGAAACATGCCAAATAGATAGACGCTAAAATTGTAAAACGTATGGCTTACACCTAATGTAGCCTAGTGACAAGCAAAGCCTCGCCGAGTGGAATATATATAGCACTTAAGCAGATTGTTCAATACTTGTCCTGGTAGCTTTCTGACGTTGGCATTTGCTTTAACGGAAATTGTTTAACAATTTAAAGAATCACGTTCCTATTTAATTTTTAATCTCGTGGCTTGTCACCCTTAACAAAACAGATCAACATCCTTAGCAAATATGCATAAGAATACGCCTACATGGAGATTTTTAAATTCATCACTCACAACAATAATTTGTTCAAAGCCATAATAGTGAAGAGTGTTTTCCTCATATATGTTAAATACACTTTCTGAAATGAAGTGTCGTTTGACTAGCCAGGGAGTACTCAAATTTTCTCACACAAAAGTAAATCAGCCAAGTAAAAAACTGTATTTATCTCATTTTACCTTGCGTGGCTTTGCAGTCATGGCCATATCCTCAGCTTGTAAAGACCACAGGAAGGCCAATACTGAACAAACTACAGGTGAGAGGAGCAGCACAGACAAACCAAATTCAAACTGCAACAATTAAGTTCTAAAATTATTTCACAAACAGGATGATTGACAGAAAATAAAACAATTTAAACAAAAAGAAAAAGAGGCCAATGACCTGTTCATGAGTAGCATTAATTAATTTAATGGCTTTAGGTTTATATATTGCAACAAATACTGTCTCCACGATGAAAACTAATGTTAAGACAATCCAGGCACGCTGTGGAGTACCAGCTAATTGATTCAACGCAAATCTAGAAATATTCAACAAGCTCCCCAACCCATCCCGTCTCAGCTCTTCTGACACAGAAGTTTGATTGGGCAAGGCCGCATCTGCTCTGTCAGAAACTTCGGCAATGTCATCTCCAGTGCCCTGATGGTCTCTTTCTGCATCTAAACTGCTCCGTTGCAATAATGACAAAATCCTGGGATCCAGACCCTTCTCCTTCAAAAGTACTGCAAAATGTGGATCCAGGCCTTTGTCTTGAAGTAAATCAGCTAATTCATGATCCCCCAACACTCCCTTTCTTTTCAACATTGATGTAACCCTCGGATCATTTAGCCTATTCTGTAGTACTTGAGCTAAATTAAAATCCAATGCATGCTGATTTGTTAAGTTTGTGAACGAACTGTTAGATTCACAACTTTGGCTTTCCAAACCACTACTAGAGCATACAACAAGTGAATTTCCTTGATCAATATGTTTGCGAGAAAATGACATGCTCACATCAGTTTCCCGAATAACAGAGCTATAAGAATTGCTACGCAGTGTTACACTTGGCTCTCCACCGTCTATGCTCTTTTCAATATTAGTAACTTCGCGACAACTGTTGGCACGAGCCAGATGCGCACTTGAATTATAAGTATCACTAACACAATGAGAGTTTCTTCTATACATGGCTTCAATGGCATTGCAATGTTGTCCTCCTTCCACACTGCTGCTACTTCTCTTAACGCTAGAACCACAACCTTCAGAAGAGCTAGAGGAGCTGCTTTGACCTTTCCACCGGAACCCTTCTCTCAACCGAATCACAGTGCTCCGCAGAGCATCTTGCCTCGCAGCTAACGGATTCAAAAAAGACAGATGATGAGAAACAGCAGAACCCAATAACACAGATGCCACAACAGCATAACTAGCACAATGTCCCAAGTACCTAGGAATATTCACAAAATAAGAATTAGAAAAGAAACATAATATTGCAATATACATAGAAGTTGAGATGAACAAATAAAGAGCTAACACAAACCAATAGTGAACCCCAAAGCAGATAAGAAAAATCCGCGATGTCCCCGCAACAAAAAGCACCATAAATCGACTTCTAAGAAGCTTAAACCCAAGCAAGCAAGCTCCCATATTCCAGTCTGATACCAGCAAAAAAAAAAAGCTTAGAATTACATGAACTAAACTACCTTAATTCCGGCCATTCTAAACACAGTATAGGTTATAGTACCAAGAACAATCACAGCTGCAGATGTGATGGCACCCAACCAATGTTCCTCATTCGCAGTCAAACCATACAATAAAGAGTACGCAAGTAGTACAACCAGCGATCCAAGGTAAAGAAGGGCGAGATGCAAAACCCTTCAAAAAGGGAGTAAAAGCCATGTTATCACAACGAATCAAGCAAAATAACTAAATATCGTGTAGGTTGGCCACTTTTAAGAAAAAATCCTACGAATTGACAAACGCGATGATTAAATCAAACAAAAAAAAGAACAATTGCTAATCCAAGAAACTAAAAAATACATTTAAATATTTAAATGCACAAGAAAATGTAGAAAATTAAACCACCTGCTTGACTTTCGTATTTGTATGTCATTTGGATCAGGTGGCTCAGGCGAATAATTAAAAGGACCAACCTCGATACAATCAGAATATGCGAACTTATATGACCTTATTACATATTCATCTACATCTAATCCAGTTCCTGTACGAAAGAGAAGGATTTAACTTTCACGGAACAATCATGACTATTAAACACTTATGAAAAATAAAGGAAAGCAATGGTTACCATTAAAAACCATCCTGCAGATAAAAAGCAAATTGATTGCTAATGCTACTGCTGACACACCAAAAAAAAATCCAGATGGTGAATAACGCTCAACAGCACTCATGCCAGCTGTGACATAAACAGCACAAAGCTCATATGAGCATAGAAGAGATACGGCCAACAGGAGAAGGTAAGCAACCGCCCCTACACATGAGGTCCAATAAGTCAGAAGGAACTCTTCATATTCTTAAAAATAAGTAGCATGATGCACAAATGATATCAGAAATCAATAGAACACAAACCATGGTCAAAACCACATAAAAGGTTTCATGAAAAAAGAGGTAAATAATCTAAATTGTTCCAAAATTATGCTCAGAAATCCGTTTTGGCTGTAGTCATTATAAGGTACCAGTTTCACAATTCCCAGACATGTTAATTAATTAGCCCAGAAGTAGATATTTTCTTATCAAGCTATGTTGTGATTCATCTTTAGCTCATGCAATTATAGCACCCAAGAAAGATCCATGTAATTTAAATAAAAGAGGAAAAGAAAGGAGATGGTGACGTGAAGAATATAATGTAAGTTCTTAAGAACTGAACACTGATTTCCTCCACAATCACCATATTACTTGTACTATAGCCATTAAAGTTCATGGGGTGACTAACAGAATGAGCAGAGAAACCAACTCCCAATGTCTAATATAAACTCAATTAAGTGATTAGATGTACCTTAAACAAGCCACTCTCTAGAAAAATTGCATGTTAAAGTTATCCCACTATTTCTAGACCACCTACACATCCAAGTGCCCGCTAAGGCTCTTCAGCCCAAGAAAAAAATGTTTCTTCGTAGCATTTACCGTAGGACCTTTGCTTAAATCTTACTCGGGATGTCAAATATCAATATAAAAAGCAAAATGTGGCAAGGATCCATGCCTCTATGATACTCATGATCCCATAAAACAAACAACAGATTCAGCATTTTATAAAAAATTCAGCTTTTGTGGTGCACCACAGCACCTACAAAGAGCCTCGTTGGCTATATATTTCACGATTTAGCTTAACAGTACATTAGTGCTTGCAAAAATGTACGACTCCTGTGCTGGAATAACGGATCCAGAGGTTCCACGATTCACAAATTTGCTGCATACATCTTATCAACTACAAATTGGGTAAAGTCTTGCAGGTGGAATGTGGGAGAAAAGAAAGGGGGAAACATGCTGGGTTCCATCACTCAGATTTGAATATGCAACTTCCTTTTTAAAGAACACAAATCATACCAATCTAACCAACAACTAAGCAGTTATTTCCCATAACTACTTAAGTAGTTAGCACTTTCATCCCTCCACCAATGGATTAAATTCCTAACATCTTTCAAGTAACTCTTACGGAAAAATGAGACAAGTTTTGAGAAATATCAGGCACATAATCGCAGGACACTTCAAAAAATAAAGAAACAGAAAATTTTAAACTCTAGTGGAAAAAGAAAGTCTTCAACTCACCAAAATAAATTTCCCTAGTCTCACAGCACCAAATTCGTCACCCACCTAGCTACATCATGATCCTATTTTTTTGTGAATCTTAAACCAAATTTTTTCCAGTGCAGTATTGAAGAGGTTGGAACAGTCAGTTTCCACAAAATAAATGTACAGAAAAATTATGATTTAGAACAAATGCCTTTGAAGTACCTTATACGCATTGAATATCCACTAGTATCCTAACAATGGTATTGTATATTAAAAAGCGATATTAAAAGCGTCTTGCAAAATATAATTTCTTTACTATTGGAAAAAAATGAGGTCAAATCACATTTGGGGTGCACAGGAAAGAACAAGGACTGAGCAGGATTACGTGAGGAAAAGGATTACATTAGTTGTTAGTTGGGAATTCGGATGCGAAATGTACAAGGTGAAGTCACAATACAAAACATATATACTACATTGGCAAGCAAAATTGGAGGAAGTGTTTCAGCTTGCTCCACCAACATTAAGAGAAAAATGCTATCAAGTAAATGACAAGTATTAAATATTTTTCTATATCCAAGACAATCTTTAAAACGAAAGAGCGAGCACACTGAAAAAAGTGAATGCACTGTCAAATAAGATAAAAAAATAAGCAAAGCCTACCACACGAGCGAATTATATCTTCAAATTAAATAAAATAAAAAACCACTGGAAATGACATTTGCCAGTTAACAATTGTACATGAAAAAAAATGACTTTTAAGGTTAAATCTAAGTTCATATGCAAAAGTATGAAAATTTTCAAAATTTTAACGGTATTAAAATGTAAAAAATACATACTTGAGCTTTGCCATTGTGTTCTCCACCATAACATTATAGAATAGAATGCCAGTAAGAGAGCTGTGCCAGCCATGATAACAGCCAACCCAATTATATCTCGATCCATAAGATAAATGAGAATAGATCCCCATATGAGAACCACCATGATTGGAGAGAGAACTATCACCCATGCAAATAGAGAAAGAAAACTGCAGAGAGTGCTCAGGTGACGTCCTTGTACAATTTCTGGCCATTTTCTCGCAAATATCCAACTGAACAATCAAGAAAAAACGTTATAAACATTCACAGAATAGAATTCTCCACAAGCACAACAGACAACAACTTTACAAAAAAGCTAAAATACCACAACAACAACAACAACAACAAAGCCTTAATCCCACTACCTGGGGTCGGCTACATGAATCCTTTTTCTCCATTGCGTCCTATTTAGTGTCATATTTGCATTTAGTTCTAGTAAATTAAGATCATTTTTAAAACAATAAGCCCAAGTCTTCCTAGGTCTACCTCTGCCTTTCTTAACACAAGTCGAATTTAAAACATCTACTCTCCTAATCGGATCATCTAATGGTCGACGTTTAATATGACCAAACCATCTAAGGCGACTTTCTCTAATTATTAACTACTATTATATATAAATTGCACCCCAAACTTTTATGTAAAATTACACTACAAAACTTGCAAAAATAATTTATTTCCTTCAAAAAGTTCAAAAAGAAAACTACTTGTGATTTAGTAGCTCAACCTTTCTATTCTTATTGTCCATATTTTTAGTCTATCTAATTTGTGCTTCAAGTATATCATTCATCTTTTCAGTTTAAAATTAAAACCACTTCCACTGAATGGAATGCATATGATATCTTTAGAAATTTAAGAATTCAAATGAATCTGATATAATCCTGAGCTTCGTAAGAGAAAAAGATTAGCAGAAGGATGCAAGATAAACCAAGAAAACATAAGAAATCACTTCTCAATGTATGAATTTCATTCTAAAGAGATGAAACATAAAGCAACCCTTTCATAAACAGAGACTAAAAAGAGCAAATTAATCTCTCTAGCTCAAGTTTCTTCTCAGAATAAAAAACTCAACAAATAATATCAAGTGTTTAAACGTGGACAAAATCAGAGAAAATTCAAGGGCATCTAAGTCAATGCATAATCTCTCATGATTTAAAGCATGAACAAATAAAGCAAAAATTTACCATTGTGTGGGATTTGCTCAACTCCATTCACTGGAAGGCCAATCCCAATCCCAGCAACAGTGACACCAACACTAAAGCCTATACCACAGCCAGCACCAACGTAGCCAATAACCTCAGGACCAAACCCAGGACCCCATCCAATGCCACAGCCAATGCCAACCCCCACGCCCCAAAACAAACCTATTGTTGGGTGCACAGGATTCCATCTTTCATACCTTCTGAATATCCCCTTTATGATCATGAGAAACTGCTATAAGAGTTTACTAAACAATCAGTATCATACATCATAGGTGGTAAAATGATAAGAAATGCAAATGAAAATAAGACTATAATAACAAAAATGGAGTCGTTTAGTTGCCCTGCTACTATCAAAACCCAGATCTTCAATCAGAAAATAAGCAAACTTATAGATATTGCAGCACATATACCAACAAATCATAATATTGGTAAAAATGCATTTCCAGTAAACACATTTCTTTATATTCCCTATTGAATTGTTTTCATATTAAAACGAAAAGAAACTTCTTTTTTGCTAATGCGACGGTAAAAATGAAATGTTTTATTATTATTCACGATATTAAAATCACTAAGGTCGATCGTATTTTCAAAAACTTCATTACAAAGTTTATCAAAGTAACTCACCCACCTATGTTGAATATATTTTTCTAAGAAAAGTGCTTTTTGATTTTCATCTTTAATACACTTTACTTGAGTTAAATCTTTACTTTTTTTTCTCTTTGTTTGGCTAGTTTATACATATATTTTTCACCCTCCTTAGTATCTAATCTATTATAAAGATCATTAATAAAAAAAAAAAACTAAAATACCAAATATGTAAAATTTAAATCAACTAACTAAAATGAATGCCTTTGGATAAACATGTGAGCACAAAAATGGCAAGTGTGTATCTGAAGAAGGGTGGAGACCCATGAGCGTAAAAAGGAACATCTTTAAAGGTAGTGAATGTCAAAATTAGCAAATATCCATGTGTTTGCGAACAAAAAAGCATGCACTGACGAAAATGCACTAACTGAATAATGTTCAAAAAGGACAGCAAACACAAGAGTGTACTCGAATAGTGCCAACCAAAGAAAGTTAAAATCAGGTCATTGGTTACAAGGCCACAACTCAAGTTGCTCCATCCCTATCCACACAAGAATATCAACCTAGAACAACTAACATCTTCAAAAACTTCAAAAACAAAGAACTGTCAAATAGAAAAAATAATGCATTGATGCATATCAAAAAGCTAAAAAATTTATCGACAAAAACTATCATTGTGCGGCATGTTCCAAGAGCAAATTTGATTGCAAAATTTGACATGGATTTTTAGAGCCCGTTTGGGGCAGCTTATAGGGTGCGGCAGTGTTTTGAAAACACCACCGTCCCGTTTGAATAGTACGTTCGGCTGAACGTTTTGGTGTCGCGGCGTTTGAATATCACGGTTTCCTTAATACCTTTGGAATCCAGACTTCCCTCTCATCCCGCGTATGATTTTCGCGTTTAGGGCAAGAATTCCTCTGTTGCCCTTCTGAGATCTCCCTTGCCCTCGCTCTTTCGAGGAGAATCGACCCTCCGCTCCTTCACTTTGACGGAGATCGGCGCACATGAGGTATTATTTTCGACCTCACACTCTCGCCCTACCCGATATCCCTCTCATTTCTTCCCGCGAGTATGTATTCGACCCTCCTATCAGTATTTCATGTTCCTACGATCGTTTGAAATGAACTATTGCAAATTTATGATTCGAAATGTTGGATTTTCAAATATGATGCGGTTATTTGAAAGAGCATAAGTTTTCTTGTGGCATTTTTACATATGTATGACCCTGTTCTGATGCCTGGGAATTTTTTGAGTTACAATATTGAGACGTTGACATGCTAAGAATCAAATTTGTGCTTGTAATGAGGGGGAATGTTGGAATGTTGGAATGTTGGAATGTTTGGGAATATTTTCATTTCCCGTGATCAGTTGAAATGAAAAATGAAGGAACGCCGTAAAAGAATGACATGGGCTGCAGCTATTGCAATATTGTTGTTGGAGTATTACCGATCCAATAGTGTTCGTATACCCTGTATGACTTCCAGTTTTATTGGGGATAAATGGGTAGGTGAGATGCTTTTTGGACATCCAATAAGGTTCAGCAACATATTTTGAAGTGACTATTGGTTTCTTTACGTTACTACATTCTAACGTTGTAAAACAGAACTGCATAGGTGCAATTGAAGGTACTCACGTCGATGCCCGACTACCCAGCCAGCACAAGGTGGCATACATTGGTCGTAGTAGTTCAACTACTCAAAATGTCATGGTGATATGTGATTTCAGCATGTGTTTCGTTTTTGTTGTAGCGGGCTGGGAAGGGAGTGCACATGACAGTCGGATTTTCTCTTATGCAACCAGGAATAGATCATAGTGTTTTCATCACTCGCCTTCAAGTAAGATTTGATTTGTAAACGTACTAGTTATATGTATTATTTGTCATTAACAGTGTATTCCATAACAGGGGAATACTATTTGTTTCATGTTGGATATTCTATACAGAGGGGCTATCTGAAGCCATATCCAGACGCTAGATATCATATTCCTAATTTGAGCGAGCAAGTGGCAACATCTGTGGCAGGAAAGAAATGTTTAACAAATGTCACTCCTCTTTACGCGGGGTGACTGAAAGAATGTTTGGGGTTTGGAAGAAGAAATGGATCTTATGTGATATGTCGTCGTATTCATTTCAAAAGCAGATGCATATTGTGGTGGCAACAATGACACTTCATAACTTCATCCAACGACATCTTTCATGTTCAGATACAGACTTTAGTATGGCTGATAAAGATGAACTGAATGTCTTTGATAAACCATCAGCATTTGTGATTGGGCCTTCAGTCTATGAGGATGAGATAGACTCTAACGAACTTGGGGTTCATTACGCTGGGGGTGTGGCTGAGATGACTGCTTTGAGAGAGTCAATCGCAGATGTTATCTATGGCAGTTGATCCACCGAGTCTTATTTATTTCGTACACCATAGGTTTATTTTCGTCTTCATGTCTTTTTGTTATTTTTTTTCAGGATCTGACAATTTGTTTTTTTTGTTTTTTTTTTTGCAGCTATAGCAACATGTCTTCTAAGATTTCGGGGACAAGCACAGTTGTTTTCTATTACTGTGGACTACCTGCTTCATTACTCACGTTACGTCAGCCTCACAACAGTGAGAGGCAGTTCTATGATTGTCGCAAAGGTGTTTCAGCTCATTGTGGTTTCTTCCATAGGCCGACAGTCCAACAAGTTATAGTACCAGCAGTGATCGGGATATGATGATTTCTCAGGTTAACAGTGCAACTGAGGACAGACGTTGTTAGAGTTTGAAATTGAATATTTTAATATTTTTCATTTTAGTTGTAATTGTATTTATCTTTTTTTTTATTTCTTTTTATACTCACGAGAGTGTGAGCACTGTATGTTATCATTTCAACTGATTTATGATGATTTCAGGGTTCTGTATTATATACTTATGTTCGCATTTTAGTTTTGTTGCAAACAGTTTCACCAAATTGAGGCATGAAGGTCATTTATCTAGCAACAGCTATCAAAAAGTTATTTTGCATAAGCTGCCCCAAACAGCAAATCAGTTTATTCTGATAATCTGCAAATTATCATATTATCAGAATAATCTGATTACCATCAGATTATAAATAATCAACAGCTGCCCCAAACAAACCCTTAGAGTGTGTTTATATTTTAAAATAGCTAATATTAAGTTATGAAATAACTACAAAGTGCTACCTCTCTAATGACTCGATATAGAAAAAACAGTCTCTTTGCTTATTCAAAAACGCAAATGATTTCTTAAACCAAAAATAAAAATCAAGACAAAATATTCAGAATTACACACTATGTATTTGAATGCACACATGATGTCAGAAATGGGCAGACTAATGCTTCTTCTTTTGTTTCTTGTAAGTGTGAAATTAAAAAAAAATGTAAAACAAAGCTTTAATTTCGTTAAACAACCCCAAATTACTGGAATTGGTCAGAAAAATCAATTGCCAGCAAGAAAGGATTAAAAATAAGGATAAAGAATTAGTTCATATATAATTAGTGCGCAATCTCATGGTTTTAATGTTAGTGGATATGCAATGTTTTTGCTGCCATAGAAGGTGGAGAACATTAAACAAACAGAAAGATTGAAAGGCTTGAGCGTTACGAAATGGTTTTCAAAAAGAAGGATGAGGATCTAAGAATGACCTAGATGGAGGAAAACAGTGAAAAAAAAATAAACAGCCATTTTTAGAGGCAAAAAGATTATAATTTTAAGACAATTTTACCATAGCCTTGGTAAATAATAAGGTGTAATTTGGGGTGCATAAGTGTCTTGTTAGATCAAGCAGCATTGCTTTCCAGTGCCTCTAGAATTTTATCAAGAGTAAATAAGAAATCCCAAAAGCAATTAGGGTCGGCAGGAAAAAAATGTTTTTCCTTGACAGCCTCATCACATTTTTTTATAAAACCTGCATGCACACTCATAGCATCATTTATGAGGAATGTGAGAAAAATGAACAAATGTCCAAACCCCAACGTTGAGAATGAAAAAAAGTCGAGATGTTAGGAAGAATGAGATGAAGAGAAAAAAAAATTATGTTGTAAAACAATTATATTATATGGAGTGTGAAGATTGCAACAACTGAAGATAAACCATGAAAAAATAAATTAGGTAGTAGGGTACAAACAAAATGAGAAAGAAGATGCAAAAATAGGTGAGGGTAAAATTAACATCAGAGATGTGGGGAAAATATGGAAATATATTTGAGGAAAAGCAAGGACTCTATGGGTTGATTTTGTGCATACCGATTTGCAGAACCTGCAGTTATAACCAAATGTGCACATAATAATAATAAATAGAAGTGAGTAGTGAGTCCAACAAATAGTTGGGATATGCTCATGATCATCCTGATGAATGATGAAGGTTTTTATATGCCTGGCTAAACCTATGGGAATAAATTCATCTACTCAGCATGTAAGCAATTATAATCCCTCAAGTTTAGAATCAAAATTGATGAGAAAGAACTTCAAGTACTGGTTATATACGAACAATTGAACTCTTCCAAAAATTGAACAGGTGTTGGTTGCCCTATCTAATAAAGCAATCATTGAAACACCAGCTGAATGTCATCTGTCATGGTAATTGCAGAAACCAGGTAGTCCGCACCACATAATGTAAGTGCTTGAGAGTATCAAACTTGGATGCTTAAATACAAGTACAAAGCAGTACTAAATAGGGCACAGTAAATGAAATTAAGCTTATATACAGGTATATTGCCTACCCAATTAAGCAGCACTTAAATTTCGCAATGCAGCTTGTCAACACTGAGTAAAGGTGCAACGCTAAAAAGTTCTTAAAATATGAAAGATATGGCATGAAACCTAACCTGTAAATTCTCCAAGGCCGCCAATTCACGGCAAAAAGAATGGTAAAACTCAGGGCACTGAATAAAGTAAAAAGGCCACCGCAGAGGCTACACGCCAGTACAGTCCGATGCCCTTCCTCCCCCTCCATGGCCCTTTCCTCCCCTGATCACCTCACATAATGGAGCAGCATCGCCCAAATCTAAATGAAAACCTCCGAATTTCCCTCCTCAAAGTCGAATAAAATCCTGGTAAACGGCCAGAAATGTCCAAATCGACGTCGAAGTACTCCAAATAAAGAGCTACAAAGCTCAAGCACCACAAAAGGTTGAAATGTTGATTAAGACTCCAAAACCCTAGAATGACGTCGGGCCACCGAGAGAGTAAGACGAAACAGCGCCTCACGAGCTCGGAGATCAACCCCGCTCCCTCCCTCCCGTCCTCCCTCCTCTTTGCCTGCCCCACACTGAAACCCTAGAAACCAGAAACAGTGCAAGGGAGTGACTAGAGTTTCCGGGGATCAAAGAACCTAACCCTTCTCAAATTCTATGCGCCATCTAAAGAGCCGGAGCAACAAAGAATTTGAGACGAGTAGAGCCAGATAAATTTCCCCCAAAATAAAAAATAAAAAATAAAATGAGCCAGCTAATAAATCAACTATTTGCGCTGTCTGTACTCCGCAAACGGTTTAAAAACAAGGGATTTATATCCATAGCATCTTTTTAATTTAGTAGTTAAATCTTAATAATTATTTATATAATGTCTAAATTCATCACCCAAAAAAACATAATTAGTATTAATTTTAAGCAAAATTTTCATTCATATGTTAGGACTGGATGTGTTAAAATTTTTTATATAAATAAAAATTAAATTATAAATTTAAGCATTAAAATAATTACGAATTATGTAACATATATATAAATCCAAGGAGCAACCATCTTGGACTTTTTATAAAATACTCCGTCTGGATGACCAAATACCGGCCGCTACGTCACTATACATGTGAATTGCGGGCGACGTGGTCAACGGTTGTTGATCGTTCAGACGTGCGGACATCGAGACGGAATATTTCTTCTTTTTTATATATAAAAAAAATTAAGATATTGCAATTTATAAATTAACTAAAATATAGTTTATATCATTTTTATCCCTAATTCTATGTATTCATTATGCAATTTGTTCTATGTATGCATTAACTTATAGAACAAGGGTGAATATAAAGTAACATTTTTTAAATATATTTTTAGTACAATTAAACTTAAAATCTTAATGCAGATAAATATATATAATTTGATATAAATTTATTTAATTTGGCTCGAGTCATATTCTTTGAAGGTTTGGGTATTTCCTCTTTTTAGTTCAAGATGTTAGATTCAAAATTATCTGTGGATGACATGAAAATCCTACTCACAAAATGATTTTGTTATCATAAGAAATAATAAAGATAAAGACGAACTAAAGATAAAACTTATGAGGTTATATTATTGATATGTGTCGGAAGGTCTGCGGTCGTAAAGTATTGAATTTTCATCTTAGCATTAAATGGGAGCTTAGCACACATTCGGTTAATTAAAGAGAAGTAAGACATTGATTTTGATGTCAAAAATCCTAGAAAGGGAAAAATATTACGGGGCGTAGCCTGATTGAAAGAATCTATGGTACACGGGTTCACCATCCTACTTAATTATGGAAGATGTAGTTACAAATATGATCATTCTACATATAAAATAGCGGTTCAAATATAATAATTGTAGTCTGGTTGTAAAAAATGTAATTCTCTGTGATACTAGGTTGCAAGGGTCGTAGTTGATTGCTATAGAGGTAGTAGAGTCATAACCCAGCTTGATGTAACTCGTTGTATTGAGACAGATCGCTCTGATATAAATTATTACTCATGATCTATTCAAAAAAATTCTACTTAACTTTCTTTAATACTCATAAACGCATAGCTGTTGGCTATATACATTTTATCTACAACTGAGCTGAGTACATGGCAGTAGCTGAAGCTGCAAGAGAAGTCTTATGGTTTGCTGGGCTAGTAAAGGAACTGGGCGTTGAGCAAGGTCGAGTTCAGTTGCATTCTGACAGTCAAAGTGTTATTTATTTGGCTAAGAACCAGGTGTACCATGCGAGAACCAAGCACATTGATGTCAAGTATCATGAGACATCTTTTCGTCAGTATGAAGCTTATTATGAGCCATACTGCCAAATTCTGGATATTCGTCAAGGTGGAGAATTGTTAGGTACGGCTCATAATACCAGAATTTGGAGTCTCTTAGAATGAAGAGATATCTCTTAATCATAGAATTATTTTTGACAATCAGCAAAATGATCCTTCAATTGTAGGGTACGTTGATTTTGACTATGTTGGTGATTTTGATGGCAGAATGTCTATAATTGGGTATGTGTTTACTCTTTGTGGAGGATTTATATGTTCAAAATCAACAATTCCGTCTATTGTGGCATTATCAAGCTAAGTACATGGCAGTAGCTGAAGCTGCAAAAGAAGTGTTATGGCTTGCTGGGCTAGTAAAGGAACTGGGCGTTGAGCAAGATGGAGTTCAGTTGCATTGTGACAGTCAGAGTGTTATTTATCTCGCTAAGATCCAGGTGTACCATGCGAGAACCAAGCACATTGATGTTAGGTGTCACAAGATCAGAGAATTGATTGCTTCTGGTGAGATACTATTGCAAAAGATTCATTTGGATGAAAATGTAGCTAATATGTTAACCGAGTCAGTTACTATCAACAAGTTTTTGCATTGCTTGGACTTGTTGAATGTTTGCAGTTGTTAGAGAAACATGGTGTCCCAACCCACTTATGGCATGTAAGAAACTCCATAATGTATTTCTCCTAAGGGGCTGAATATTCTCCAAGGTGGAGATTTGTTGGATATGGCTCATATACCACAAAGGGACAGATTCTAAAGCAGAGCGAAAGATTCTGTCCAAATCAGGGGAGTTTCCTTATGTGGGTTGGGGGTGAAGTACAGGGGTAATGTTGTAATTACATATTGTACTTAGGGTTTACTCCTAAGATTATAAATAGGCATGTTAGTAACCCTAGGAGGTACATAAATAGATGTGTAACCCTATGGGTATGTATCTGAATATTGAAAAGGGAGTCGCTGCTCTGCTCCTGAGGATGTAGGCATCTTTGCCGAACCTCGTAAATCTCTGTGTGTTCTTCTGGATTTATGTCGATTCATAGTTTTTATTCACTCTAATTTCTCAGCAAGTGGTATCGGAGCGAGGTTCCAGGGCAGAGAAGAAAAATTTCGGTGACTCAGGAATAAAGTAGATTTTGGCAAAGGAGATTGGCGGCTAGAGCGCCAAATTCGGTGCAGAAAGGTGCTTCGGTGAATTCGACCAAGGCAAGGTTCGCGGCAGGCAAAAGTTCGGCAATTTGCGATTGATCAGGACTAAGGTATAGGAACAACAGGAATCACGGTTCGCAAAGGTTTGCGGCATTCAATCTCGACGAAGGAAGATGAAGTGCGGTTTTTTCATTTTTCTGTGAATTCTCAGGAAATTCAGCAAAGGGTAGTTCTGCGGTTCAAGCAAGCTCGTGAGCAGGAGAAGGTTGCTTGCTTGATGCAGTTTCACATATAAGATCGAGAGGACCATGCAAAGTTCGAGCAGGTGATCGTGAATCGCGACATTCAGGTTCTTTCGCGATGCAGACGATTCGTTGCGAACGGGCGAGAAGGTGGACATGCATGTTGACCTCACTTTTGGTTGAGGTCTAGAAATTTCTTTAGTAGCTTTAGTAGCCTAGGTT